AGAGCCTGCTATGTGCATGCATTGTGCTGGGCACTGAGGATTCACAAGACAAATATGATCCTTGTCCTCACTGAACTTACAATCTAATATCTAAAAAAAAGTGTGTGTGTCTGTATGTACTTATTTTTTACTATGTGCAGTAAAAGAGCATGCTTCCACCTCTTCCCACCTCCCCTGTCATTCCTCCCTTCTATCACCAGCTTTTAGTTAATTATATTCTACTAGAGGCCTGGTGCACAAAATTCGTGCACTTGGGGGGGGGGGGGTCCCTCAGCCCGGCTTTTGCCCTATCGCAGTCCGGGACCCCTCGCTCCTTACCACCCACCTGCTCGCTGCTCCTTAGCACTGCCACAGAGGTGGGAGAGGCCCCGCCACTGCCGCTACGCTCGCCAGCCATGAGCCCAGCTTCTGGCTGAGCAGCGCTCCCCCTGTGGGAGCGCACTGACTACCAGGGGGCAGCTTCTGAATTGAGTGTCTGCCCCCTGGTCAGTGTGCATCATAGCAACCGGGTGTTCCGCCGTTCGGTCGATTTGCATATTAGGGTTTTATTATGTAGGATATGATTTTAGGTCTAGTATTTCTATGTTTAAATATCCTTTGTACTTTTATATATCTTTATATAACTTTATACCCTTAGATGTTCTTTTACATCTATTAGTTGACTTATCAGTTTTAATATTCTTTGGACTCATGTTATGAAAGATAAGTTAATCAGTACATTGAAGCGACTTCATATCTTCTCTCCCCTTATGTTTATCCAGCATTAATAGTGACATTATTTCTAAGTTGTTTTTTTACATTTTTTTTTTACTTATTTTTAAGTTGTTTTCTACATGGGTCTGTGTTTTTAAAAATTTACCCTTGCCTTTAGTCTTTTTTTCTGTGGTTTTCTAGTCGTTTTGTAGTTGACTCAAATTCCCTAGTTTTTCTTTTACTCCCCCTTTCCCTGTTCAAACTTTGTGCCTCACTGTCTCTGAGTAAAAGTAGCAAGAATATTAACAGCAACATTTATTGGGTACTTAGTGTGTGCCTGGTGCATTTATTATTTGTTTTTCTTTTTCTTCTTTTTAATTTAGCTTATACAACTTTATCATCAATAAGTGTTTGATTTTTTAAAAAATTTCTCCCATCCCTGCTCTTCCCTCCCCTTTGGCAACCATCAGCTTGTTCTCTATAACTATGCGTCTGTTTCTGTTTTGTTTGTTCATTTGTTTCGTTTAGATTCCACATGTAAGTGAAATCATGGCCTTGCCTCCTTCTTCCTGGTCTCTTTCCATTCCTGCCCTCTAGTGTCTTCTTGTCATATTGCTCCCTCACTCCACATGTACTAGTAGGTGAAATCATATGGTATTTGTCTCTGTCTGACTTTTTATCTTAGCATAATACGTTTTAGGTCCATCCATGTTGCAAATGGCAAGATTTCATTCTTTTTCTTGTTGAGTAATATGAGAGATCGAGAGAGATTATCTTTATCCATTTATCTATTGATAGATACGTAGTTTACTTCCATATTTTGGCTATTACTGGTAATGCTACAATGAACATA